GTACCCGATAATGGCCGGATTGGGGCCGGGTGTACCCGATTTTGGCCACTCCTCTTCGCGAAAACGTGCCACGGACAAACATGTTGAAGTTGTCTCTTCTTCGTAGATGCGGCATTACCGCCGCCTCTTCGAAACCTCTTGAGGGCAAACAGGGAAGTGTCCGATACAGTTAGCGCCCGCAATTGAGAAACGCTTATTTCAGGTCCAGCGTCGAAATCTTACTGTGGGCTATAAAATCAGCGTAGTATGCAAATGTCGTTCAGTTTTTTATTATGTCAAGTTTTATTTTCGTGCCGCCAAATCCTGCTGAATTTCTTCAATCGGCAATTTCGTATTTTCTCTTCTCACGAGAGCTGGCGGAGAGCACCATCAAAACCGTACAGCAGACAGCATGTCGTGGTTCGAAGCCTGTTTGGTATGCTGTGCTAGAGCCGGAGCGCCAGAGAGCGCCAGAGCCGGCAGGGGGCCGAAGGGGGCGCCGCAAAAAAAACACACTCACTCCCCCCTCGTCGTATAACTAATGACGCACTTACTTGGGAGGGGGGGGGTAGTGGGAGAGGGGGGAAAGAGCGAAAGATAGNTGTCGTGGTTCGAAGCCTGTTTGGTATGCTGTGCTAGAGCCGGAGCGCCAGAGAGCGCCAGAGCCGGCAGGGGGCCGAAGGGGGCGCCGCAAAAAAAACACACTCACTCCCCCCTCGTCGTATAACTAATGACGCACTTACTTGGGAGGGGGGGGGTAGTGGGAGAGGGGGGAAAGAGCGAAAGATAGAAGGAGCTGTGGGGTGTTTTTAATTCGACACACTCTCCTCGTAACCCCTCGGTTCTTATGTAGTAGGGCAGCGGTCGCCCCTGTTTCTTAGTGAGATATTCTTATTGTTTGTGTGACCCAGCGTGAGCCATGATTCTTAACCCTATTTTCTTAGTTTTCGTGGAAAAGTGAGCCTTCATGTAAAATTATTTCTTAATTACAGGCGCTAACTTGCACTTTGATTCCTGTTTATGGCCCCCATACCCCTAGCGCCGCAACCACCGGAGAGTCACGGTCCATCATTTACTTTGTGCAGATTCTGCGCGCAGCCGCCAAACACGAGCGACTGCAACCCAACACCAACGAACGGTCAAATAATCGGTTGACAGCACAAACACAAATGAAGAAACTTTCAACGCACAGAACAGATGAAAGCCACCAATGACTAGCACGGACTTCACAACAACACATGTTCTTTCCACGCATTCATCGCTCTGCGCAAGATCGGGTATTGTCTTCCTCGACAACATCCATGGGAGAAACAAATATCTGGTTCATGGTCAGAACCAACGAGTGGTGCTGCTGGTGGTGGTACTGCCGCCTGAGCACGTCGCGCGATGGTTCCATCCTCGGTCCGCTTGCGCTTTGTCGCTTTTTTCTTGGGTCACCCCATGTGTGGGCTTGTGTGTGGCCGCGTGTGTGCTGCTATCTTCGTGAAATGTATGTGTGGTGCGTGTGCGTGCGAACTTTTCGTATCACAGCGGCAAGCAAGTCATGGAATATCTCGTGAAATTTAGTTCTTACGAAAAATACGAAAGACCCATCCGCGGAATTTCGAGAGGAATTGTTTGTTTGCCGTAGAATATTTTCAAATCGTTAAGTTGGTTCTGGCAAACGATTGTAAACACAATGCCCTGCCAGAATCGATTGATGGAATATAACTTCCATCGAACAGTACAGGTTGAAGCGGTCGGTACGTTGTAGCGTTGTTGATGTGCGGTCTCAAGAGTTGAATTCATGGGGGGAATGGTTGATTTGGATCGGCGTCGTTCGTGTCATCCCGCACATGATCTGTCTGTGGAACAAATGTACACGTATCATGACACTAATCTATTGCGTCCGATTATTCGCATCACGCCAAGCACACGGCATGGTGTGTGTGCGGGAAGTTTGGCGACAGGAAACGGTGAAGGTGGCTCGAGAAGCCCGGTCGCGGTACTTTCCGCTTGAGCCGGCAGAAAAAGGCTTGGTGATCCTAATCGATCAGCGCGGGTCCCTGGTGTCGGGGTCCATTTGTGGTACATTCCTGAAACATATTTTGTCGCACAATCTGGCATATACCGTTTGTTCTTTTACCCTACAACCCACAACGAAGGACGGGGGTATAGGGCGACACTGGGTACATGAGAAGATCACAACAATCACAACGTGCTACCCTTGCTTTCCAATCCCTCTCACCTCTGGAAAGAAAGCATCCGTTGAGATTTTTCTAAATATCTGGTCGGAGCAGCACCTCAAACCTCGGATCGGAAATGCCATGATGAATGATGGCCGGGCTATTTCTTTGCAAGCTGGGTGGTGTTGAGTAAACACCAGGTTGATTTGTAAGGGGAGCTTCTCGACCAGGGAGGGTGAGAGCATTGAGCCTCTTGTCATATTGCAGGGCAGCATGATGAGCTTTAGCCGCCGAAACCGTAGAGGGTGCGGCCCTGGCGCTTGAGGGCGTACACCACGTCCATGGCCGTCACGGTCTTCCGGCGGGCGTGCTCGGTGTAGGTCACCGAGTCGCGGATGACGTTCTCGAGGAACACCTTGAGCACGCCGCGGGTCTCCTCGTAGATGAGTCCCGAGATACGCTTCACACCGCCACGGCGAGCCAGGCGGCGGATGGCGGGCTTAGTGATGCCCTGGATGTTGTCGCGCAGTACCTTGCGGTGGCGCTTGGCACCGCCCTTGCCCAGACCCTTACCGCCCTTTCCGCGTCCAGACATGTTTGTGTGAGGTGTGTTCTTCTTGAGAAGAGGAAGAGAGTTGTTGTTGTGATTAGGTGGGGGCGAGGGTGAGGGCGAGGTAACAAGCACGCTGAAATGTATCCTGCGACGTCCGGGCACATGATTGCGCGAGCGGGAACCAAATGTGCCACGTTGATTGGTCGTGTTTTATTGCGTGCAGATTTTGAATTTCTAATCTCGCCGCACATCGCACTTTTTTTTTTTCTTAGTATGACACAACGATTCCATCTCTATCATAGAAAAGAGGATTTTGTAACTACAGCTAGCACAGCAGTGGCAACCGTGGATCGTGGACGCCTTCGCCACCACGAGCGACACAGTCAACCACTGATCAACATATCGGGGCTCATGCGTTTTTGACTGCCCCAAACTACATGTATTCCAGCCTAGAGTGTAAGGCACCTCCTGCCAACCTAGACCCATCTGGGGGGCTGCTGTACCCCTCATCTGGGTTGTGGTGCCTAGGCGTGCTGCGCCTGTCTGACTGGCGTGCTGGAGGCGGTGGTGGTATGCCCGAGCCGGAGGGTGGATCAGTGGCCAACAAGGGTGGGCAGCGTGCTGGGGGCAAGGCGAAGCAGAAGCCTAACGACGAAGGTCAGTAATGATCACACAGCAGGTCGAACTGAAGTTCTGCTCTACTCTTGCTGTAAAAGTGCAGACAAGAGCCTGTCCTGACGCTCATCGATACGTACGCCCTCCTCCTGCACCTCGCCAGGTTCCACTCATCTCTGTTGGACGCCTGCGGAGAAAGTCGTACTCTGGAAGGCGATCCAGAAACACAATCCTTTTGCAGAGAGTGGGCAGAAGCTGGTGAGAAAACATTGGCGTAGGGCAGCCGCTTTCGTCATCGAGGACCAGGACGTGGAGGTGTACACGAACGAAGGAGGCAGGGAGACCGTCCTCGTGTGTTGCGCTCACGTTCTCCTTGTCGGTCGTACGGTAAGGGTCAGCATTACTTTGAACCTCCTAGTAGTGCGAGGCAGTGGTCCCACGAGAACATTTCCCACATGACGTGCTCGTGTTTGACGTAGAAGGTGTTTCGTCTATGCCGGAACAAGGTGCCACACTTTTCATTGTACGTTCATGTCTGCTGTGAGTTTCTGGAGACGGGGGGGAGAGATTCCAGGCTCCCGCCACGTTCTGAACTGCTAATTCTGGCGCAAGATAAAATACTGCTACACTATGCATGAGGGAGTTACGCCTATTACCACTGTATGCATAGCACTGACATGGCCGCCAGGTATAGGAGCCAAGGTGTTCCTCGCTAAAAAGATACCCACACGTTTCACTTTTTCAATAGTCACGAACACCCGAACAGGGTTACCGACTGCTATCCGTATGCAACGCACGAGCACATCAGTAGGTTCCCGTGTATGGCGTCGCTGTGAGTTGCACGCGACTCGAGTACATGTATCGGCTAGGACGATACTACTGCTATTGTAGTCTCGATAGAAATCCCAACGGTTGCACGGTGTCTTTGCTCCCCCCCCCTCCTCCCCGTACACCCCCCTCCCCCCTATGTTCATGTAGTCGCGGAATGTCCGTTGTACAAGGAGAGGGAAGTGTACGTGACTGAGCTGGGAAAAATAGATGGGACGTACAGGGACATGTTTGAGGCATGGAATAGAGAGGAAAGGACGGTAGCTGTA